GCTGCCGTCGGCTCCGCGCGGGGGGGCGGGCCGGGCCGGCACCCCGGGGCGCCCGAGAGCGCTCGTCGCTTCTTCTCCTTCTCCCCCCGCTCCGCACTCCAGGGCACCCTCTGCCCGATCCACGCAGCTTCCAGCTCCCTGTGCTCGCCCCCAGCAAACTTTCGTTCCCTCCCTGCCTCTAGCCCGTTATTCGTCGTGGCTCGGGCTCCGCCGCGCCGCGCCGCCCCGAGGGCTCCTCCCAACCTCCCTACCTGCAGCTCCCACCATTACAGGACCCAGAAACATGTCGACCACACTTCTGTCGGCCTTCTACGACTTCGATTTCTTGTACAAGGTAGGCAGGGGAGCAGCGGGGAGGAAGGCGGGGCGGCAGGAGCCCTTCCAGCGTCGGGACAGCTCTCTGCCCTAGGCTTGCGGGGAGCCCTCCCTCCCCGGCTTTCGGGCCGGGAGAAACCCTGCAGTTTGCAGGAGTGTGTGCTAGCGCCCAGTGGGCGGGGAGGAGCAGGGAGGGCGGAAGGGCAGGAGGGAGCGGCCGTAGCTGGTGAGTTTCTCCGCAGCCGACCACGGCCACGCTGCCCCGGGCTTCCGGGACAGCGCGCGCCACCCACGCCGGGGCCCAGGCCGCGGATCGCGGGTCGGAACCGGCGCGGCCCGGTGGGCGCCCTCTGCTTTCCCGCGGCTCCCGACGCGAACTTGCTTGCGGCTCTTGCGCGTGCATGGGTGGAAGCTAGCTGCAAACCCGCAAGCAAGTAAAGAATAAAAGGGAGCGGCGCGGGGGGGCGGGGATCAGAAAGCTGGAAAGCTGCCCCACAGCTCACCCCAGCTCTCTCCCCTGCCCTCCTGATTTTCATCTCTTCCCGGCTCCCCTTCTTTTGGCAGACGGAGAAGTCCCTGGCCAACCTCAATCTGAACACCATGCTGGACAAGAAGGCAGTGGGGACGCCCGTGGCCACGGCCCCCGGCTCGACCTTCGCGCCGGGCTTCCTCCGACGGCACTCGGCCAGCAACCTGCACGCGCTCGCCCAGCCCGCGCCCAGCCCCGGCAGCTGCTCGCCCAAGTTCCCGGGCGCCGGGGCGGGGGGCGCGGGCCCCTACGCGCCCCTCAAGGAGCCGCCGTCGGGGGGAGGCGGCACCGCGCTGCTCAACAAGGAGAATAAGTTCCGGGACCGCTCCTTCAGCGAGAACGGCGAGCGCAGCCAGCACCTCCTGCACCTGCAGCAGCAGAAGGGCGGCGGCTCGCAGATCAACTCCACGCGCTACAAGACCGAGCTGTGCCGGCCCTTCGAGGAGAACGGCACGTGCAAGTACGGCGAGAAGTGCCAGTTCGCGCACGGCTTCCACGAGCTGCGCAGCCTCACGCGCCACCCCAAGTACAAGACGGAGCTGTGCCGCACCTTCCACACCATCGGCTTCTGCCCCTACGGGCCGCGCTGCCACTTCATCCACAACGCGGACGAGCGGCGGCCCGCGCCGTCCGGGCCCGCGGGCGCCTCGGGG